TATAGCTTAGGACCTTTGCACCGTAATCGAAGGAGATTACCTCGCAAACAGCGTCAGCATGAATCTTCCAGTAAAGCCAATCGACAGCTGGTCAAGAGGAATTCGCCGTTGTCTTCTGATGGAACCGACCTTCGAATCTCTTCACCCAACATTTCTACTCGAAATGGAAGTAATCCCAACATTCTTCTGGTGGAACCGACCTTCGAATCTCTTCACCCAACACTTTCACTCGGAATGGAAGTAAGCTCAACAATTCTCTTGTGGAACCGATCCTTGAATCTCTTCACCCAACACTTTCACTTGAAATGGAAGTAAGCTTAACAATTAGAAAACAAGAGATTTCTCGAAACCCAACTTTTCTTCGCATATATAACATGATTTAGCCTCGCTGATGGCTTTGTCTATTTCTATTGTATCGAAACTTTGGAAATGACTATCCGCAGTCCACTGGTAACATCAAATGCGATAGTCCTAGTTTATTTTCCACTTTCCTGAGCTTTTCAGTACTCCTTTTTGCCAGTTCGTTTTGAGCAAGGATGAGTCTCTCTTCCCCGGCTCCAGTTCTAGTTCGGCCAAGACCAAATATGATTGGCCTTCATTAGTTTTACAGATATGAATACCGAGATGGTCTGACCTTGGGCTTTGTCGCAATCCCCTCTAGTTGCATTCAGTTGGTATGACCTAGTTTTCGCAACTTGGTCGTAGTAACACAGGGATCTAATGAAACGTATCCAGTCCTGCATCCCCCTCCATTACATCGAATTATTGGCTTGATACATTTCCGTATGTTTCATCAGCGTCGTCAGTGAGAGGTGAGATTTTTAGCATGGAGAGAAATTCACTGAAGGCTATTACTTATGGACGAAATCCTCGACCTTGCATTTTTCTGGGCATGATTTCCGTTCTAGCAACCCAGATCGGCTGTGCCTCTAGTGACAACATGTGCCATGTAGCTATATTCTTGAGCCGTTCTCACTTTCATATCCTCATACATGCTTCTTGTGTGTGGCGGCTTTATTATCCATATATTCACACGGCGCAAGTTCGCACAACGTGTGAACTAGGTAATGTAAAGAAGGAACTCATTCTTATCCAGGTCCTTAAGACCACAGCCCCCATTTGGATTTCTTATCTGGACTATGACCAAACAGAAAGCCACATCATATTGGTCTTCATACCTACGTTCTTATCTGTAGTTTTTTCTTGCCATCTTGGTACGACATTCAAACCTGCATTTTCCTACAAAACTAATAAGAGCTCTTATGTTGCTTCCTTTCCTTGATAGATATCTTTGTAGATGCACTTACCTAGTTTGAGCATAGTCGATCAGCAACTAAAACAGCATTTATGTTTTCAACTTGGCGGCTTGTATTCAGAACAGATGGACTATTTAGTGTTGTGGAACAATATTAACTCTCCTTAATATTACTTTCCATATTTATAGGTCAAGTTTGAATAAGCTGTCCCAATCTCAGATCTGCGTTGTTCATTTTAACTATCCATATTCGCAGTTGAATGTGAAACACCACCTTTATTTTTTTAACAGTTGCTATAATTTGGTTAAACCTTGGCAGCAATATGTTATGTGACATTGTAAGAAGGTCTCTGGTGCCACATATATTTTAAATTATTTTAGGAAAGTGCTTGCGGCTTGACCTGGCTTCCTCATTTTCCGGCACTTTTTGCGAATTTCCTCCCAATTAGCGCTAATTAGGGAAAATCAAGTAAATTACGAAAATATCGACGCAACACAATTTCTCCGGAAAATTTGTTTCAATCCTCTTTTAGTTTTGATAGTACCATATTTAAAAGTTCTGTTCATACGAAATGCTAGATCAAATGACCTTAGTAGTTTATATAATAAGAGCACTGATTTTATAATAATCGGTCTTAATCATTTCATGTATTGACAACCTAATGAAAGATAATAATCATCGTCCGGCCAACTAATCTTCGGCAGCCATCATACTAAATAAGTTCAACTCAAATACTCTACTAAAGCAGCGTTTGATCAGTTTGCGTAATTTTTATACCATTGAGGAACTTGAAAAGCTTTTAAGAAATGATAAAATAGTGCCAAGCTTTGCTGTCGCTACTCTATGCCAATCTTTTAGTGAAGCTAATAATTCACGTCATTATTTCCTCCCAATTATTCATTGAGTCCACTCCATTGCGAGTAATGCTATATAAGGTTAACAATAAATTCATTCGTATCATTTAGATCGGAAATATTCATGGTTGTGGTATTAATTTTTCCTATTTATAGAAAATTACGTCTGTCTGTGGCTTACCGGCTCCCAGTGCAGCCCTTTCCAGTCTGTTATTTTCACGCTGTTCAAGTCAACTTCGTTTTCCAGACCCTCCCAGTAGAACTGACCATCGCTGGTTTCCGCTGTGTTGGTAAAAATAGTGTTCTTCTTTATTGTCGACATAGCATTCGGATTTGTTTCATTCGAGGTACCTGGTGCCACTCCGAAAAATCCTGCTTCCGGATTGATAGCGCGGAGACGGCCTTGATTATCAAATTTCATCCAGGCAATGTCATCGCCGATGCAAGTTACTTTATATCCAGGTAAGGTAGGTTGTAGCATGGCCAGGTTGGTTTTACCACAGGCGCTAGGGAAAGCAGCAGCGATATAGTACTGACGACCTGTAGGTGCGACAACACCAAGGATTAGCATGTGCTCAGCTAACCAACCTTCACGTCGTGCTAGAATGGAACCAAGCCGTAAAGCGAAGCACTTCTTGCCTAGGAGGGAGTTTCCTCCGTAACCGCTGCCGAAGCTGCAGATTTCGTTTCGATCGGGAATGTGCGCGATGAGTGTTGAGTTTGGGTTGCACGGCCAGGAATTTATCACTGGTCCTGCATAATAAAGTTTGGGTTGCAGGGAGTAAAGACATAGGAATATAATATTTATTAAGATAAGATTTTCTGGCTTGTTAGTAATTGGTTATTTCCTTCTCCCCTTGAGTCAATATCTCTATACTGAGACAAATTTTCTCTCAAAATAATCAAGGTATGCCATTGGTCATTCAAAGTCCAACCACAAAAAGTATTGTTGTGACCCCTACTTATGAACGGCAAGCAAACATGAGCCCTATGATCTATATAATTGACAGTATTCGGATTTAACAAGTGGGTTGACCTCGTCGCAACTTGTTGTCAGGGCGGCTTAGTATAACGCACCTAGTCCGAAGTCGTCTGCCATAATAGTTGTCATGATTCCCAGCATCAGCCAGTGGACTTGGTATATTCTTAAACATTTCGCCGGCATCGTATTGGGCATCATCAGTGAGTGTTGCCATTCTCCGCACCAAGCTACGAACTCGTCAAAGAGGCAAGTTAAGTCAATCCCTCGACAAACTTTCAACCGAAAACGGTTACACTATCATTTCTCTTTCTATCCTGGCCCATCTATCAACTCTTTACCCTCTTATCCAACTCCCACCCTATCACAACTTCTGACTTGTTTACATTCCACTCGTCGAAATGTGTGCCCTTTTGTGGAAAATTTAGTGTGGCCTCATCCAGTGGTCGTGTGGCGAAGTTGTAATGTCTCTCTAATGCACACGACGGGATATGGAGTCATGTTTATGGGTATTTGTGAGGCTTAGGCGATGCGAAAGCTGAAAGAAATCGAAAAGGAGGAAAAACGATGGATATGTCTACCCTAAGGAGAGTTGGCTTTGAAGCTAAGGTTAAAATTGTGGAAATAGAACATTCGTATAAGCCTGAAGAAAAAGACAACCTTCTTCAGCAGCTTTCCTAACCAACGTGAAGAAGTCAACAAAATTGAGTGTTTTGGAGTTTACAGCATAAACTGCAAGGACATAGCCGATCAGCACAAGGATCAAAGAACACAAGTGACTATGCAGAAAAATTGGATACGTAAAGATCGGAGATAGTTGAACACATAGCCCTTGCCGGCCACTCAATTGACTGGAGTACATCGGAAAGACTGGCCTAATATGGGACGACTATTATTA